AATGGTACCATCGCAATGTGGGTGGCTTAAGATATCCTAAGCAGGTTTTATAAGTGAAGGCTCTCTAACTTGGTACCCAGGTGCCCCCAAAGAAGATCAAGCAGTGGACCCGGAGGCATCAGAGCATCAAGGTGGCAAGTGTGAGTATATACAAGGTGAGTGGGAGTGGGACTCGCCGAGTCGCACTGATGGTGTTCGAGTCCCATTTTGATCCAATGTGCGACTCAATTTACCAAGTGGGACTGGTTACCCAACAGCTTTGATGGGAACAGTCTCAGCGCATTTTGGCTAGGGATGCCGACAACTCCTATCCAAGTCAAGATATCCGGTTAATTCAATGAGAACTGAATGAAATGATGTTCAGACATGCTATGACACAGACAGACATCCTTCCTTCACCGGTGTATAGCGGGTTCCCTGTAAAGTTGAACCTTGTCCCAAATGGAGTGGGGGTGTTGAACCACTTTTGAGCACAGGTCACGAATCAAGGCTGTGGTAGGCAGAAAGCATGGGTCAGCGAGGCACGGAATTGAAACAATTTAAGAACCCAGTTCTCGTTCAATTCAAAGATTCAACAACACTAGTTGCAGTATCGAAAGCCTGAACAAGTGAGTGAGTGAAGTTGAAACTGAAGATCATGACTTACAGGGTGCTAGTTGCACAACAGAAAAAGAGATAAGTCAGGTTGAATGAAGGTAAATCAACCACGTACCTATCATTCAACCAATCATGCCAGCGGAAACTGAAAGCCAAAATGACTGAGTGGTAAAAAATGCGGCGCCACCACAACGACGAGTCTGAGGAGGGAAATAAGTCAGTCAAGTAATTCAAGGTGAAGATAAAGACCAAACAAGGGTGTCCGTACTTAAACTTCAACCAGAAAATTAAGAAAACTATCAATAGCTTAAAGACAAAAATAAATAAAAAATAAAAAATAAAAAACTGAAGGCCAGCACATCCCAAATGCTGCAACAGAGCAAGTGAGGGTCTACACCGGGTCTCCCCAAAAGATAGGTTAAGTTGAAATGAACATAAAGCACACACTGGTATTTCAATTGAACCCAATGCTGATCCATTACCCCATTCAAAGCTCCAAAGCCAACATGAACCTATGATTCCAATCGCACCATTACTGAACAAAGAAGCAGTAGGTGAGCGAAGTGGAACCGAAAGCCAAAATGACCGAGTGGTAAGAAACTGCGGTGGCAGGGCAGCATAACAAAGAGTGTGAAAACGAGAAAGGGTCAGTCAAGTTGAAAACTACCAGTCTGAAAAAAAGTCAGTGAAGTTGAAGGAAAGGAAAAATGTAGCTCACCATTCCAGTATAGTCATGCAGCAGCCAACTCGAGCTAGCGTAAGAAATTGCATGTGCGGGCCTGCAGACCGGCATATGACACTAACTCGTACACAAACCGGCACTCAGGACTTCTTTGCTTCCCGTGTTGGATACCAAAATGCTCCCAATTCACTATGGACTCCCTACGCATGAGTGGGTGCCTAGGCAATTACATCAAGTCGGAGCGGTCAATTGCCGTTTGGCCCTGCAAAGATTTCATTTCAGCTGGAGCAGGTGGAAATCATCAGCCACCAGCGGGGATTGATTGCGCATCAGTGCGTCAGTCGCACTCCGTAGCAGAGTTGAGTCCCATTAATGGGACTGAGTCGCACTTTTCAAGTATTGGAATGGGACTCATTGAATCCCACTCCCACTAAAATTGTTATTACTCAGCAAGTGTCCAGGGACCAGAATCAAGATATGAGCAAAATATCTGGCGAAGCATATCGTAATCAGACTCCGAGCCGTGGAGCTTCTTGAGAGCTTCTACTCGTAGTGTCTTGTGTAGCAGGCTTTGACAGAGCCTTCTCATCTAGTTGTCCTTGTTTGGGTCCCAGATCAACCTGGTAGCCAACCACAGTTCAAGCTCAAATTCAACCCTACTGTACAATTTCATTCAATTCAACAGTCACACGTCACGCACCCCCTGTGCCGCGACGAATCTTCGTCTCGGTCACGGGTCACGGCGCCCGGTGCCGAATGTAAAATTTGTGACCCCTGGGCCAAATCTCTCTTGGAGCTGCAAAAAAGGCAGAATGTTCGAAATTTTCGTTAAATGCCGGAATTTTGTAAGTGTCACACCAAATTTTGTTGGGTGCCAAAGTGCCGAATCGGTATTTTCGGTCACGGGTCACAACACATGCCAAAAATTTAATTGAATGAAATTCTACAGTAATTCTTACTTTCAGCCGGGCTCCAAACGGTATTTTGATGAAGCAAAAGTGCTTTCAAGGAAAAATCGGGATTAATTTCCCTGCCTTATAGGATGTTCCACCCCTAGCACCGGGCCGACTCTTCCGCGTGCCGCCGCCGCCGAATTTACTTCCTCCCATCTTCCTCAACATTACCCAGGTTCAGTAATATTATCCAATGGTTCTCATGAGCTGGGCCATCTGCCTTACATCAGTTTCAAAATTTCTGGTCCTGGATCCAACTGTACTACACTTTGATTTGACAGTGATTGGGATCATGGTTCACGAAATACTCAGGTTCAGAGCATAAGGATTGTTTGAGACACTTTGTCGGTACCGATGTGAATGTACTAGTAGTATAACCCAATAGCACCTCCCTCGCGATCCTTATTCTCTTTTGAAGGCTCTGAACAGTAGGCACTGACAGTTTTTTTCAGCCCGTCCCCCTTTGACTAATTTTGTCAACTGCAAGATGTTTTTTTTGCCGCCCCCCGACGATGTACGAGCTAAAATATGTTTATTTGAGTGTCTGTCTACGAGAGAATCGCGGGCAAGGCAGCCACCTTGCGCGATCAAGGTCGGGATTGATAATTTAAATCCAGCTGTTGCCAGAAATCCACGAATAATACCCCCCTGGTTTTTACCGCGACCAATTCGGTTCACCGGGCGACGGCCACATGCAGGATAAATTATAACTCTGTGATCCCCCCTGCCACTCCTTGTCAAAGTTAAACTCCCTCGTGTGACCCGCGATAATCGAACTCACCAGAAAATGGCTGTTTTTTGCATCCATACAAGTTCCCGTCACAAGTCACGAAGAGACCCGGAGTCCACAAAACGTACATATGTTTCTCGTCCCAGGGAATACGCGGGATCCCTGGTTCCACTCCAGGCTGCCTGGTCATGGGCTGCCTCTCCCCTCTCTTCTTTGTTTTCTATTCCATTTGCGAGAAATCTCCATTGCGTATTTCATTCGCTTTCCTGTTGGGTTTCTGTTGGGCTTGCTGCGTGCTGAAACGTAGCCAAGGAAAGATAGAGTACAGAGTTTTTGTTTATAATTTGAGGAAAGATTTACGGTTGAAGCGATACGCGGGGTCCGCCATAAAATGCTGGAAGCATGAAAGTGACAAGTACATGAGGAGAAATGAACTCGTAAGTGCGGGATCTTTCGCTTTTAGGTGTTCAACAACCAGTCCAAAGAAAATCCTCGCCCCCCTCAAATAACAAAAGTTAACAATACAATGGCGGTAGTGAGCCCTAGCCCAGCGGACATCTTCACAGCACCGTTCGTCTTCGACGGACCCGACGCAGTGGTTGTCGAGCCCCCAGAGGCAGGTGTAGAGCCAGCAGAGGCCGGTGTCGATCCAGCGGAGGCGGGTGTTGAGCCGGCGGCGGCGCCCGAAACAGTCGGCGCGGCACCAGTGGCTCCGCCGGTCGCGGTACCGGTGGCTTCTCCAGTCGCAGCACCGGTGGCTTCTCCAGTCGCAGCACCGGTAGCTTCTCCAGTCGCGGCACCGGTGGCTCCTCCAGTCGCGGCACCAGCGGCCCCAGTGACTCCTCCGGTCGCGACACCAGTAGCTTCTTCAGTCGCAGCACCAGCGGCTTCTCCAGTCGCGGCCCCAGCGGCTCCAGTCGCGGCACCAGCGGCAGCACCAGTGGGACCAGCTCCGCCCGAGCCGCTGGCCGTGATCGCCGTGATCGCGATGCTGTTGACCGGTTGGCCGATCTTCGAGCAGGCCTGGGTGTACGCTACGATGCATTTGACTCAGAAAAAAAGAATATCGTGTTTTGAGAGTTGACAGAGAAAACGCACCATCAACAACCTGCTGCGCGTACTGCTGCGTGAAAGTGCCGACCGAGACCTCGCAGTTGTAGCATTGGTCGTAGTCGGTTGCGACGTCGCTGGTGCAGGTGGAGTTGGGGCCGCCGGCCTGAGGGTGCCATGCAAGTTATAATTAGTAGTGATAAGACGGTGGTGGGTATGGGGCCACAAGTACTTGCCTTCAAGGCGGCGGTTATGCCTGCGCAGGGGGTCGTACAGTCTGCGGAGCTGGTTTGGCGCGCGACTCGGAGTCGTCGGCGAGAGGTGCCTGATTCTGAGTGTCAGCAACACCGAGATCAAGAACAATGAATGAACATACCCGTCTGCGCAGCAACGGAGAGAACGGGAAGGAGGAATGCGAGGAGGAACTTGAAGTGCAACATAAACAACAAATTTGCACGAAAAAAGGGAGGATGGGAATGAACTTGAAGGAAGAAGGACAAATGCTACAAGGACGAGTATTAGAGCGGACAATTTATACCAACCGGCGACGAGGGTTTAAAAATAGGATCCTCAGATGTCAACAACAGATGGGCGCTGAGCCAATGCTGACTCACTGAATTTGTGGAAGACAGTTTCATGCGGGGAGAAGGAGCCGCCAAAATCCTATACCTGTCGAGCAAATCCGACACCCCTGACCGATGACAAGCATGTGGCGGGGAGTTGACAGACAGAGAGTTGCTGTGCTAAATATACTTTATTTTGATTGATTTGTTTATTTAGATTATTGAGCTTGACAGACAGAGAGTTGCTGCGCCCTGTGTCATCGCCGACTCATGTTTACAAGGATCTTGAGTCTAGAGCCTCAATATTGAATCGAGGTTGAACCGCGTCAGACTGACGCGCAATGACTTCCTCACTCACCGGCTCACCAGAAATGGGACAGCCCACACCGTACTCACTACATTCCTTTCCAACCGGTTTCCAAAAAGACCTAGAGCGGAGCGGTCCGCGCCCACGATCCGTCCACCACATCTTGCTTGGCTATATTCGTGGGATACCTGGTTCGACTCCAGGCTGGGTCATTCGGTATAGGCGAAGATTTTTGCATTATCCTGCTGGTCCTCCGTGGTTCTGAGCCGCGGGGAGACATTAAAAATACGGAGCCGAGAACTCAACTTCAACCTTTCATTCCCTCCAGCTCACCCGGAAATTGGAATCCCTTCAGCTAAATTTAAAGTATCCGCGGTACATACCCAACTCCTGTGCAGTATTATTCCCAGCTAGAGCATTCAAGCAAAACAACGCTTCATCGCGTCGCGTCGAAATGATTCAACCTTCTTTTGTACGTGTTTTAATTTTTAATAAAGATCTACATACCAATGCCATCCGCGAAGCCGCAGACTCCTACATGCTCCTTCCTCTCCTCCCTACATCTCTAATGGAACTTGGGACAGCCTACACCGTACTCATTGACACTACATCCCTTTCCAACCATCGTTCTAAAAGACCTAGAGCGGAGCGGTCCGCGCCCACGATCCGTCCACCCTTCCTCTGCCATATGCGTGGGATACCTGGTTCGACTCCAGGCTGGGTCATTCGGTTGAGCGCATGGTTTTGCGTTATCTCGCTGGGCTTGCGTGGTCCTGAGCCGTGGAGACATTATGTAAAAATACGACGCGGAGAACTCAATTTCAACCTTTCATTCCCTCCAGCTCACCCGGAAATTGGAATCCCTTCAGCTAAATTTAAAGTATCCGCGGTACATACCCAAATCCCGTGCAGTATTATTCCCAGCGAGAGCATTCAAGCGAATCAACGCTTCGGATCACGTCCCGTCGAAATGGTTCAACATCCTTTCGTGCGTGTTTTATTTTTAATAAAAATCTACATACCAATGCCATCCGCGAAGCCGCAGACTCCTACATCCTACATACTCCTCTCCTCCCTCCGTCTAATAATCTATACCTACAATACACTAAAAATGCAAACACATCGTATGTACCCCTCCACCGCAAGCTCATCCTCAGTATTAAAGCGCCCCCCACGCCTCCTCCTCCCCCTCCGCACCCCCCACCTCATTCTGCACCCGTCTCACGTTCCGCGCCCCATACCCCCCGCCCCTCCCACCCTTATTATTATTATTGTACCCCTCCGACCCGGCGTCCGCGCCACCCCCACCCCCGCGCACCAGCCCCTCCCGCTCCCCGCGCTCCGCGCCCACCCATCCCGCGCCCGCGAGCGTGCGGCGCAGCGCCTTGGGCAGCGCGAGCGGGAGCGCGCCCCCACCTCCCCCTCCAGATCCGCTATTCCCGAACGGCGAGGACGCCGCGGAAAAGGGCGACGAGGAAGATGCATGCACCGGTCGCGCCGCAGAGTCCGACGACACCCTCCGCGCGTCGCCGCTCCTCCTACCCGCGCCGTAGCTCGAATTCGAATTCGAATTATTCGAAATCGAAGGCGGCGCGGAGGAATTCGCGTTGAACGTCGCGGAAACAGGCGACGCCTCGCCCGACGTAGCACGGCGGTGCGGGTGCACCGGCGGGCCCCTTCTTCCCTGGTCTTGGATACTCATGCCGGCGAAGGCAGCGGCGTTAGGCCCCGCAGATAGCGGATAAGTCCGCATTGGGGCGTCGAACGGCGACGAGTCGGCTTCTGTGGAGGGCGTGGGCGGGAGAACTTGTGCGCTGAACGGCGAATACGCGGATGGGTTCGAGCTGGGATGGGACGAGGTTGAGGGTGATACGGGGGATGAGCCGGACATGGATGCAGAGCGCGGGGGTGGGGGGGAGGGGGCCCAGGAGCGAACGTCGTGCGCGTCGGGGGCGCTGTGCGTGGTGCTGCGTGGTTAGTGTTGGACGCGAACGGGGAGGTAGCGGCGTTAGATGCAAACGGCGATGTGGAGGTGGAGGCGCGCCGTGGCGGAAGGGGCGGCGCGCGAAAGGGGTTCGAGGACGCGCGCTGTAGTGGTTGTTGTTGCTGCGGGGCGTTCACCAGCGCACTAGCGCTAGAAGCAGCATTCGGCGGTTTGGTCTGTGTGGACGCCCTCCGCAGAGGATGCGTCGGGGGCGAGATGAGCGGGACGCTCGCACTGGCTGGCGGATTTAAGGAGTTTGAGTAGGCGTGTGTCCGCCGTATGGACCCCGATGCCGAGGAGGAACTCCCAGAGGAATAAGTGCTATTACCGATCGATGACGAGGATGTACTCGCAGACGATTCGGACCAGGTGCTCGGTTTACCTGTTGGTCTGTTCATGGGAAAACGCGAGCTGTGTTCGGGAGAAGGCGCGGGCGTTGGGAGGAACGGGTTCGACAGCCTGTGCGTGTTCGTGTTCGGAGTCGGTCCGGGGACAGCGGCTAACAGATAGGGACAGCGATACCGATGAGAATCGAATAGAACCGAAAATAGAGTACGAAGATAATAGAAAAAAAGCGGTAAGCATAGCACGCGATCGCCGATTAGAGCGGCATATCGAATTGAATGCATACCTTGCACGAAGGCGAGGCTACGATCGATTGCGCTCCCTGCTTGCGTATGCAGGACGAGTCGTAAGAGGGCAAAGACGGCTCCCCCACCAAGAGTTGGTGCGGGGAAGAGGCGGAGAATCTGCGAAGACAGATTGTCAGCGATTTCATCCTTATCCTCCGAGGAAATTAACGAAAAAAGACGGGAAATGAACGAGAGAAAAGAAGGGAAACACAAGAAAAGAAGGGAAACACAAAACACACCTCATCGATCCGCCCTGAGCCAACCGAGGCATACCTCCCACAAAGCCACGCACGCGCCTCGCGCACACTGACACTTAATCTCTCCCAATCGAGCGTATGGTCGCTTGGGTCGACTTCTGCAAGGTCTGCGAGGGAGGTGGTGAAGAGGGTGTATTCTGCGTCGCTCAGTGCGGACGGGTGGAGGGACAGTCGACGCAAGGACATGGTGGAGGGAGCAGAGTGGAGTCGGCGCGTAAAAAGTAAGCGGGATGCCGTCAGCGGCGCGGCGCACACGTGGGCATCATGTGAGCAAGTGCAAAGTCGCGTAACGGCATTTGACCGCGCCGCTTTTTCAGTATCGACTTTGATTCAGACTAGAGAATTCTGAGTCGTGCAGTCCGTGAATCTAGTTACAATTCTCATTCGACACATGTACAGTGCGGGGGAAAAAACCCTGATTGATGAACCTATGACCTGGCCTAATCTTATCTTTGATCCCCCTTGGCTCCAAGTCTTATTTACATCATGTGTCGGGTTGGTGATCTTCTAAATCACGCAGTCCGTGAATCTAGTCACAATTATCATTCAACTATACTACTGGCTGGTCTCGATGCGCTGCGAACACCGCGAAAAAAAACCGATAGCGACCATCTACGACCGAGCCTTGAGTCGAACAAGGGACCCCAAACAAAGTGCACTTTTCAAAGCATACGGCATATGGATTGTGGGTGCGGGCCACTCCGCTCCAGGTCTTATTCACGATAATAACGGTAGTATTTCTATTGCATCTGTGCAGGCAGGCCGGTAACCTTTCGGTTTCTCGCGAGTCGACCGAGCAAATAGTACGCTCAGATGGCTGCCATTTTCATGATCATTTGACCACAAGTTTCTTGTCCTCGAGCTCTTCTAGGCGGACCAAGAATACGCAAAAACAGCTCAACGAACCGGGTGCGAACCCACCACGAAAAATCGGAAAAAAGATTCGACACACCCGTGATATGACTTGGCTTTGAGTCGAACAAGGGACCCCACATAAGTTTCATATTCGCCAAAGACAATGATTATGAATTGCGGGTGCGGGCCACCCCGCCCAAGTCTTATTTGCATCGTGTTCTAAACCCCGATAATTATGGCAGATTTCTATTCCATCGGCTGGTAACTTTGCCAATTTCTTGTGGGTCCATCCTTCAACTAGTCCGCGATGGCTGCGGATCGAGCCTGCAATTTTCATGATGGTTTAACGTTTAACCTCAACCATGTCCAAGTCTCAGGGCATCGAGACCCTCCAGGGGGACCAAGAATATACAAAACAACGAACAAACAGGGTGCGAACCCATCAGGAAAATTCAGAAAAAGACGATCAATGTTCCTGAATGAGCCAGCCTTGAGTTGAACAAGGGATATCACGTGCGGACATAGGGGAAGAGGGCACATTTCGTGGATGCGGACCACTCCGCTCCAAGTCTTGTTCTCACCATATCCACGTTCCTGAAGATACCAGCATCCTTGTTCCATCTGCATAGTTGGTTGTCAAAGATTGGCTATTTTCCGGATCACTCTGCTGTGGTCAAGGCTGCATTCACATTAATATTACCGATCATCCAACCCTATATTACTGCCCGGGCTTGACACACTGCGAATACCGCGAAAAAAAACCAAGTACCAAATCTATGACCTAGCCTTGAGTCAAACAAGGGACCTCACATAACAGTGAAATTCTGGACTATGAATTGTGAGTGCGGGCCACTCCGCTCCAGGTCTCATTCACATAATGCTCTGAGCCCAATAATGATGGTGGTATTTCTATTACATTGGCTAGTAATCTTTCAGCTTCTTGCGAGTCCATCCATTGCTATTTCGCAGTGGCTGCCACTCTTTCAAATTTATCCAGATTCACCTGGCCTCGAGCGCTTCTAGGCGGGCCAGGAATATACAAAACTACTAACAAACAACGTGCCCACAAGAAAACTCGGAATAATGTTTCCCGCATGACCTGGCTTTGTGTCGAACAAGGGACACCACGTGCTCGCATTGGCGGGTTCAGCACAGTTTGTGAGTGCGGACCACCCCACTCCAGGTCTTGTTCACATCGTGTTCTGAACCCCGACAATAATGGTAGTATTTGCATCGGCACAGGCAGGCTGAGATTTTTTTTTGCAAACTATAATGTACTCGTGCAACACACGAGCACAGTGCGTGGGTGCGGATCACTCCGCTCCAGGACTTGTTCTCGGTGCAGGTGAAATATCTATCCCTGTGCTATGTAGCTTCTCGATTCAATCCGGGAGAGAGTCGTACCCACCTTCGTCACTTTGTTACTTTGCTTAGAAATGTGAAAGCTCGTGAGTTTGATCGAAAACTGCGAAACTTCGTACAAA